GTTCCGCTGTTCAAGTCCTATAATTGCTGTGTTGAGAATACCGACTAATTTGTCAATCGAAATGTTTTCGTTTTCAATAACCTCTGGGTCACTTTCTTCACTATCGGAAGCGAATTATAATGACGAGGAACTTGATTTAAATCATATCAGAGACGGAGTACATCGAGATGAAATACTACACTTAGTACGGAATTATAAACCAAATAAAATAAAAATATCTGCCCTGAAGATACGGATAGTGCTGAGAGATCAACTTCCAATCCCCGGCGTGAAATTGATAAACAAATTTCGGATTTCAAAACATACTTTCGCTTTGTAGATACAAATTACATATTAGTAAATATATATCGGAAATTCTATTTGACATAATCTTTCTAATCTATCATAATCTAATAATGACGTTTCTGCCCCCCCCCTCTCTGCTGCAGAGCAGCGTGAAATTGATAAACAGATTTCAGATTTCAAAACATACTTTTGCTTTGTAGTAAATATATATCGGAAATTCTATTTGACATAATCGAAAGTTCAAGCTTACTTTTATAAAATTGCTCTAACAGTCTACAAAAAATAATAAGCCGGATCCAATTCGAAGATTAAGGAACAACGCAATCTGCAACATTAACTGAATTAGATAACTTTAGCTTAGCGTATAACTCCGTTATACATTAAACGCGCATGCGCACAAACATATTCGCAGCCGTAAGGGTCTTACGCGCTCTCGTAAACGCCTGTGCGCATGCGTGAACACGGCGCATGCGCAGGAAGTTTGTAGCTTTGAGGTCCGGATTATAGATCATTCCAGATTATGGGTGTCCGAATTAACGACTTTTGACCGTATATATAACTTTTCAGCAGATCATGGTTTAGCGAATCACAAACAAAACACGTAAAACAACCAATCAAAAAATAACATAAATAAAATATAAACATATAAAACATGATGAAGTTTCAGAATACATTGGACCTGACAGAAAGCTATAATTCTTTTTAAGCAATAGGAATACAATTACAAACGATTACGATGTATCTCAACAGGCTTGAGATGCCTCTTGAAGCAAATTGGGCAGACAATCCATAGAGCTAAAGCTATGGTTGTGGCAATAGTATATATGGTATACAACAGTAGTACCTGCTGCAGCTAATATTCTTCTTATGTATGACGCATTTTCTCTTGTTTGAAGAAATTCTTTAATGACAAGCTAGATGCAGCAGTACAGTTTGACATTTTGTAATTATTATTGTTTATATAAACTTTAATATCTGCACGCCCAAGGTGGCCTGTTGAAAATTTTGAAGAACATGTATTGCACTGTAGATCATAATCGTATATAGTTTTCCCATTAAATAGTTATTTCTTCTATAGGTTTTCTTTAAAGGTACACTTTCTTATTTTTTTTAACCCATTACTAAAAAAAATCAATGGTAAAAATAAACAATAAATTGAACTGCAGTAAAATATATCCTTAGCATGTGTGTAATGTACCACTGATAAATAAAAAAATATATGTTACTGCCAAACAGAAAACGTTATTATGCATCATCATTTTAGTAGATTTTTTTAAACTTTTTTAATTATTATGCAAAATCAAACTGATGATGGAATAAAAATTTTACAATCTAAATATGACAAAAGGAAGATGATTTTCAGTGCATATATCACCAATAAAATTTCAGTAAATATTTAAAGAATTCTTTTTAGATGTTGTGTAGTAAATATATAAGGGGATGATACATAATAACGTGTTAATGCACAGTTGACAATTAAAAATAATATTTATGTATTATAAATTCAAATCACAATCGAATTAATATATCAATTAAAAATTGCAGTACTGTGAGTAAGTGATAGTCTGAATTACAACTGTGAGTGTGCAAAAATTCCATGTATGTTGGGAGGCTGGGAAGAGAAATACAGGAATGAGAAATAGAATTCTCTCACTACAATTTTTCTAAGGTAAACGCTAGATGGGGAAACTCCTGTTTATGCAGCTGGTATGGCACACGTCTTTTAACTTATGCTTGCATTCTTAGTTTGCAATCAGCATTACTTATATAAACAAATAAAAATATATAAACAAATATAGGCATTTAAACTTTTACATTCTCATACTACTGTTTTTGAGGACAATTATAAATTTGGAGCCTAAAAACGAGTTATAAAAAGTCGGAACCGCAGGGTTCGTACGGTCCTTAAGAGGCTTTAAAAGTTCTTAGTTTTTTTGGTCCTTAAAAGTCCTTAGTTACAGCGAAAATCAGCTGAAGGTCTTTAAATTTAATCATCTGAAATTTCTGTCTCATTATGACAGCCATTTTGAGTGTGAATTAGTATTTTGGAGGAATATTTTTTGCGATTCACTGACATATTATATGGTTATTTTTTGAATGGGTTCACAGGTTATAATTTGTTCCTATTTCTAATCTAAATGAAGAGATACTTGAGTTTCTAAGCAAGAAATGAAACATACCCATTTTGGAATTATTTCATTTTTTCTAATGAAGAGCTCTTAAACAAATTATTCTTTTATTAAACGGTTCTAAATTTGGTGACTGATAAACATTTTGGCGATTTTTAAGATCAATTTCTACAGAAAATTTTGATGTCCAAAAAATGGGAATTTTTCAACAATTTTTTTAAATTATCGTAACATTGAGAAATTTCATTAAAATAATTGTAATATATTAACTTATATTTTAAAAATAACATTAAAATTAAAACATCTTTAATTTTTGATCACGTTTTAAAGTTTAGTTTGTGCAACATATTATACAATGTTTTAAATGTGAAAAATAAACAAGGTATAACGCTATAAAGCATAATTAACAAAACAGTTCTTAATAAAAGCAAAATTACCTATATAATTAATTAAAAATGTCTTCTTTTTAATTTTTTCATGGCAAGAGTTTTCCTATGTAATTGTCTCAAATTATTCAAAATTCTCAGAATATGCATCAGTTTTATCTGTAAAAAACATTTTACACTTTTGCTCTTCCCCCCCCCCAAATATTTCTGCTCTTTTGCTCTTACAGAATTGGTAGGAATAATTTGTTTAGGGGGATTTTAGACATTGCAGCTTGGAAAGTTTAGAAGGATTTCAAGGCAAGATCAATAGACACACTATTATAGAAGATTCCACAAAAATGTGACAAAAGGAAAAATGTGTCCATAGTATTAACAGGTAGTAGATATATTTTACAGAATGTTTGCGATGAATTTTTTACTTCTTGGAGAACATCTGGAAGACCAATGAAAACATAATATTTGAATGTTTTACTTCTGATGCCAGAATCTTTTTCCTAACTTATTTATGTTCCCTTTATTTTCTCTACTTTTCACTAGACACAAGGACAAAATATCAAAAATGCGCCTGATCTTGTGACATGGATAGGCATTTTCCTACCTGATGCAATCTCTCTGGAGCCTAAATTCTGCTGCCTGGTGCCTTTCTAAATTCATCTTCCAATGCCTGCTCTAAATTCTAAAAGTTTTGCCATTTCTAGATTAACCAACCATTTCCATATATATTTCATGTTTCTTCTAAATGTTCATATTACTTTTTGTTCATATAAAATTAGCACTTTTTCTATACATTCTAAATGCATTTAGTTTTTTAAGAATAACAGACATCTTTAATTAAATCCAAAATTTCGAAAATGAAAAGGGAACATGTTGAAGAAAGAATCTAAAGGCATAAAGAAAATTATTCTTCAAAGATATGTACAGTTATTATTATGTAAATTACCCAGTTGTTTATAATGTCAGCTTTTACTATAACTTCCCATTTCTTTTTCCCTCATATGATAGAATTACTGAGCCAAAAACATGAAAATGTAAAAATTCATGTAAAACTTATTCTTTGCATCTGGTGAGACTTAAAATAATGCAAAACAATTTATCATCTCTATTGCTTTAGCAGCTTTTTGGAACCTTAAAGTACATTATCTGGGATACAACCCCCAACAAACTTTCAAAACTTGCCAACTGTGATTACATCAGGCTTTTCAAGCTCAATAAGCTTTGTAACAAAACTGCACTAGAATACTCACTTTATTTGGGAATACATTTGAATGTGAACAGCTTTGTATCACAATTGAAAATTAATAAAGAAAGAGCCCAATTGATTGATGAGCATGTACAGTCAAATATGAAAATAATTTCCAGTAATTTCTCTCCAAACTTTATCCGAACCGAAATATTAAGTGTCAGGCTATCCTGAGAGATAAAAAAACCTGATGATCAAAACGTACATATTTTTGTCTAGGCATCGAAGAACAATTTTATAAATGAGAGAAAGAGATTAGTTATTATTTATTCTTGAGTTTTACCCCACTTAATAATATTTTTGTTTATTTTTAATAAAAATGAAATTATTTAATGATTGATTAACTATGTTAGAATTATTTGATATCGGTATAAGAAATGTCAGTCTAAGCATTTAATATTTAGCGATCAGTATACTTGAAATACAAAGTATAACCAACAAAAATGCATTACAAGTACCAGATTTCAGACAGAAGATAAATTTAAATTTGGATTTTTTTTCTTCTACTATAATGTTATTATTGTTTATATGTGTTTTAATAAATGTTTAGTAAGTGAAATTTAAAATGTATTTGAAAATCTTTTTTTAATACTTTTTTTGGGGGGAGGGGTAATCTGGCTCATCAGCTGTTTTTGGGTCATGCGTTCAGTCTATATGCAATTTGAGTTTGAGACCACTTAGTTTGAGTTAGGTATTTTATTACTTTGAATTGAAAATTAAATCAACCTGTTAGATGAGCAGATAAAATTATTGGTACGTAGGTATTATTCTATCAACCATGAAAGTTGGCTCAAATGGTCTAGCTACAAATAACAAAATAGTATATTTCAGTGGAAATTCAAAGTGAAATAAAAATTCAATGAAAAAAAAAATGCTCTTGTTGGAGTTGTAGCTAACCAAATATTGACATTGCAAATCAAGATTTAGTGTATTTTACTGAATTTTTAAAATTACTTATAGCTGTCAGTCCTGATGGTAAAATGTGCCAATCAAGAGAACCTAAGGAATGGCATGGTTGTCGTGCTACCAAAGGGGTTCAGGGGAAAGGTATGATTATGTTGTGTTTATATTTGAGTTGATCCCTTATTTGTATCTTACCTCTGGTAACATGTTGAATTTTTTTCCTCATTTAGGAAAGTATTATTATGAAGCTAAAGTTACAGATGAAGGTCTTTGCCGAGTTGGATGGTCCACACCTGCTGCTTCCCTTGACCTTGGTAAGCTTCTGTTTACATATAACTTTATTTATTTATTTTTAATGTATCATTTGCTATTTAACAGAACTTTTTTTAAGCTCCAGATGGCATATAACTAAAACGATATATTTAAAATTTCTTTATAACCATGGCTAAATTAGAGTACTAAATCCACTATCCTGATGTGAAAAAAACTGCAGTGTATAAAATATATTTGGTACTTCCCTTCTGTAGTGGTCTTGATGAGAAAAAATGGCACTGGTGTAATTAGGGTGTAAAAAAAGTGCACCCTTGTACCATTGTTTCCAAATGTTATAAACATTAATGAAAATGAAATTGACTAAAGCAAAGATAAATCAGCATTTCATTCAATATCTATACAAGTCATTTAATACATCCATGTAAAAGGAATTTAATATAAATTTGTATTTTTTGTAGTAGTTAGTACATTTTTGACAGCAGTTTATTAAAAATAACAGCATACTTCAGCAGAACTTATTTAATATGTACACTGATTGTTGTATGAATGCAGTTAAGTATTGCATACAATACAATGTCCCAAATCCAGAATGATCTAAAATCCAGACATCCGAATCACCAGCAATCCCTTATATATATATATATATATATATATATATATATACACTTTATGCTTGCACATTTGATATTTTTTACAATAAAGCATGTTAAGAGTTCTATTCTTTAATTTCACTTTGTCACTAAATAAAATACCTCTGTATTGAAGAAACAATAATTTATCATTACATTTGTTGATTACTTTATTATCCCTGATGCCAACCTAATTAATCATTATTTTTTATGTTTTGCTTTCATCACCACACAATCAGTTATTGTGCAGTGGTAACATCTAATAGTGCATACACTCAAATAGTCCAGGTTGCTGCACTACCTGGAAAACTGAGAAAAGTTTGGAAATTCGAAAATTGACCAAAAACGTCAGGGAAAAGTCAAGGAATTAAAATATTTTAGTGAAAATCTGGAAAAGTCATGGACTTTCATACGATGATTCCCCAAAAGCAATTTTCGTGCTAACGTTTAAAGCATTGTGTGAGCATCATTCGGGCAGCGGCCATTGAGCCAGTTTTCGTAGCATGTTAAAAAGGGAATTTATTTTGAATTAACTAATTTTGTGATACAGCTGATGATTGCTAAGAGAATGGTGGTTTAGTATGCAAGTATTGTATAGCTGCCAATTTTCTTAGTTTTGCAAAAACTTAATTTGAAAGTCATTGAAGAAAACAATATCTATTATAGTTATAATACTAATCCTTTGGGGATTATATAAGTCATATGTAATTGTCAAATTTTTGTTTTTCAAATGGTACCATAATTAATTTACCCTTAGCACAGCCAACACACACTATGCGAGTAGACTGGAATTTCCTTAAAAAAAAATCTAGAAAACCTGGAAAAGTGAGAGAATTTCATTCTTCTGTTTGAGCAACCCTGAATAGTGAAATGCACTCAAGCCAATAGTGTAATACACTCAAGCCAATAGTGTAATACACTCAGCCAATAATGTAATACACTCAAGCACACTTGTGTTGACACAAACATTGCTAGAGAAATGACTCATGCAGCAATGTCTAAACAATTAAAAACAATTAATATTACTAATTGAATACCAAAGAACATGGTAACATTTTATCTTCACAATACATTTAACAATAATTACAGACTTCAGCTAACTCCGCTTGAAGTGTCGAGTGTGTTGACGAGGAGAAATTTTAGCAGAAATATCTCTCCAGGTGAAAAACAAAATCTGAAAAATTTCAGATTTTAACAGTTGCCCAAAAGTGTTTGTTAAGGGTTTTTTATGATCTCGGTGAGCTTGCAATCTACTAGTCTGCTATTACACTCGCTCCTACTAACCTTCCCTTTTTTTCTTTTATCGTTTTAGCTTTATTATTAAGTATAATTTTCTTTGCACTTACGCCATATGCAGTTCAACAGCAAACTTACAAAAATTTTAAAGGCAGCTCAGCAGTATACGTTTAGAAGGCACACATATATTATTAATTTTTTTTAAAGAGGTTTGTGTATGTGTATTTTTATATTCCACAAAAGCATATGTGATTATATATATTATGAAATACTTATCTAAACTTTTTTTCCCCCTTTTGATATATTAAGTATCTTGCCTATATGTTGCTTAACCCTTTGAAGGGCACCGGTATATAATATATACTGATTGTTTGTCAATTTTTTAACCTCCGAAAAAATGCTAATTTTTCTACACCAAAAGCTATAATCGTAAGTGTCTAGCATTTTCTTTCGATTCTAAATGGCAACATCACCCTATGAATGCTCAATATTTTACAGTTATGAAATTAATATACCTCGTTCCAAGGTATCATGTTGGAAGATTGATAAATTCTATTGGAGGGAAAGAAAAAATTCAAAATCTGCAAATATATGACGTACACATGCTGAATCTTATATATTTACTTCATTTCAGTCAGAAGTGATAATTAACAGTAGATTATTTATACGATTTTAAAACCGGTATATATTATATACCTGCGCTCACACTGAGGGTACCACGCCAATAGATGGCAGCACCAGTCTTCTCCTTTCCTTTTCTACTCTGTACGTGACAGAATTTCTTTATTATTATAACAGTTTATGAAGTAATAATTTTTCATGATTAACTTATAAGTCGTTTAGGATTAAATATTATGTTCATGGAGGAATGGGGAGTTTACTGACTCTGCGCTAGGACTGAATACAAGTATATTAGTTTAATTTTTATTCTTTGTGTACTCAGCTCAAGTTTCATTCGTCTGTGTTTATCTAAAATTTTAATTTCAGCACTTATCCCTTTCCCAAGAGAAAGACTCATCGATTTCAAAATTGCCGTCTGGGGTCAAAACTTTACACAATTGTGGGGCACTGTTAAAGTTTTGACTAGATGGCATGCTAGCCCCCAAAAGACACCTGTTGCTTCCTGTTTTCCAAAATCCTAGAATGTAAGAAAATGAAAAGAGGTGATTGACAACCAATTTGTCATTCGGGAGTCATGCCTTCTTCCCTTTGTGAAGTGTGATAAGATCACACAAAGGGAAAGCTCACTTCACTTTTTGGGGCCGGGGCTTTGGTAGCAGTAAAAGCTACCAAAGGACGTTGAATCTTGAACCGAATGCTCCCCCCTTTAACCCTTTGCGACACGCATATTTAAAATATATTTTAATCTTTAAAAAAAATGCCTTAGAATAAGTCAGATGGACTTACTTAAGTGCCTTTAAGGCTTGAAAAAAATTCCGCGCTTTTATTTTTTACGGTGGAAGGTGGGATACCGTTTGTCCCACCATGCAACTAGCACATGTCTTACAGCATATTGGTGTATAGCAGGGAAAAAAAAATCCTATGTGAAATGAATAAACAAAATAAAGTGTGCATTCTAAAATATTCATAATAAACACACTAAAATGCATTTTGTACTTATTGCATATATGCATGACTTGTAAAATTTTGCATATGCACATTTTGCATACATATATTTAATATTTTTAAATTTTAGGAACAAAAGAAAATATTTTCTTGAATATTATTTTAAGATTAAAATTTGATACTCGTACATATGATACTAAATAAAATAATAAAATTGGCACTTGATTCAAAAACATTTATATATGGTTAAAATTGAAAAAAAGTCATTTTTCATGAAACTTTGAAAAACATGTTATTTCATTCTTTTGTAAGCATAGAGGCACTTCACATGTTTCACACACCCAAAATGTTCATCGTTCTTCTTTCGATATGCTGCAATATGCACATCTTCTCCTGCTCGTTCTCTTTGGCATTTTACTTACATATTTTAGTCTCTTTTCTGGTTGTACGAAAGAGTTTTTAGTTTTTATTTGAACTGGGGATTTCAGTTTTCTTTCAGCTCTTTCTTGCCTGCAAATGCCTTTAGACCTTTTATGACTGAGAGAAGAAAATCGTTCATTGTTTTTACATCATGATCAGGTTCGCGAACGAACTTGAATAAATGTGTTTACTATACTCGCATCTAAAAAGTAAAAAAAAAAAAAAAAAATCATGTGCCACCATTTCTTGCTTTTGCGGTCTATTTCATATAGTCCTTTCAGTTGATCAATCACTCGACATATCCCATATTCTTATTATATGACATAATGCTGTTTGGGCACAGTACTTTTTTTTTTTGTCTTTCCATCTAGTTCTTTTCTATTAATTTCTTTCATTTCAGTTGCCTTTTCCAAGCAAGACAGGATAGAAATGGATCTTTTATCCTTCCATTTTATGCAATAAATTGAATCATCACTAACTGAAAAGTCTATATATTCTCTTAACATAAATTTGTCTTTTAAATTTTTGGGTAGATACTTCCGATCCATATTTACAGTGCCACATGCATAGATGAGTCTGTGTCTTTAAAAAGCGAAACAAATTATAACTACTTCCCTTTCTTCTTCAGCAATAACTTCAACCTCAGTTATTCTTTCCTGGATTTCAATTTCATCTGAATCAGAACTGACATCTGAAGCATTTGAGTCGCAATCGGATGGCAATTCAGCAAAAAGATCCAAAGCTTCCTGAGTTTTTAATTTTTTTCTAGACATTTTAGCACATCAGAGCATACAACGGATGTAAAAGCGCACACAATCACGAAAAAAAAAGATGCAAGAAAGAAAAGAAAAAATAATCGTGAGTGCTGCCATCTATTGAGCGGAAAATCAAGTGTGTGGTGGGACAAATTTTAACCCACTTATTTCAACTGCAAAATTAATGTTATAAAATGTTGAATCCAATTAAGATTTTTGAAAATAAAATACCTTTGAATATTAAAAAGAATCATACATATCATAAATTGTATACCAAAATTTTTTAAAATATTGAAAAAATGCGAGATACATGGATATCACTCTTGTGATCCTGTTTTGAATATTTTATGCTTATAAACTTAAGCCCTGGTATAGTAGTAATATCTACTGAGAAAAATAATAACTAAAATAGATTATTTTTAAAAGATTAGAAAT